AGAGGCTTACGTTTGTTTCCTTGCTTCCAGCCAGCTATGTGTTTTCTTCTTCTATGCTTGATGTCCTTTTAAGTCACCTTGTCATTCGAACCCATTTTTTATCTCTTCTTTTCAGGCCTTAAATGAAGGTTTCTCTCCTACTTCCCGAATTGAAAGGTACATTTTGTCTCTTCGGTGGCCTTGATTTGCATTCTAGTTTTCACGCGTGCCGTTTCCGCCCTTGGGAAACTTGGCGACGACCTATACTTTGAGTGTGGGGCTGGGGAGGTAATTAAAACGGTAAACTTAAAATAATCTCTTCAGTTGAGTCTGCGGTGTGTAAACTCTTCGCGCTCAGCCTACGCTGCCGCATTTTTTTCCACGAACTTTTTTGAGAAGGCCTCCGGCCTAGAAGACCGTGATGATACACCGAGGTTTAAGCTCACCGCTAAGGTATGATGCCCATCCGCCTCCTCCTCTAATCCACTTTCGTCCTCCCTGACAAGACTTGCTGCAGAGTATTCAAACCTTCGGTGTCTTGGGATAAAATTATTCGAAAGTGCCGACTCCGACTGGACGATTCCGGCAACACGCTGATTGTGCAATTTTTTCAACGTCACGGTAAGTCAAATCTTCATGAATTCCGGGCAATAGTCTGGTTTCGGGCTCACTACTCTCATTTCGCATAATCGCTTTTCTTAGTTCGTAGTAGTAAGCATGCTTTTCTCCCTACAAACGTACGACCCAGTCCATTTACTTTGCAGTTCCCACACAGAAATCTTTAGCGTCCTGCGGCAACTTTTAGTTTCATTAGTTTTAGTTTAGTTGTCTTAAGTTTAGTTTTTGACTTCGCTTAGTTTTAGTACATGTTTAAAAACCTTGTCCGTGTGCTTCTCCCTCAATGTCCTCATCTCTTTCCTAAAGGGCTTGTAAAAACGTACAACCTGCCTACAATCGACTGCGAAAGCCTGGAGGCTGTTTATAATATCAATGACGCCTTTAATCATCTGGCAGCCTCTTCAAAGTCTGTTCTTTTCACTCTCTCGATTATCATGACTTTTAGGGTGTTTGCGGAGATTATTAACAATTTTCGTCCAACTCAAACTGAGGTGACACTCGTTATACAGGACGGCGAATGCATTTTCCGAAATTTTGTCGATGACACAGGTAGGTCCACACATAATTTTACATAACGCTGGTCAAAAAAGACTTTTCCGCAATCGTCACCCACGTGCCAGTATCCTCCAATGAATTCGAGACGTATGACTTCCACGAAGAGGCCGAAATAACTTTTTGTCAGAAGGACTTGCGGGTAATACGCTAATGCCTTCAATCGGCTTGCCGAGTATTTTCTTCCAGTTTATTCTTCTTGTTCTTAGCATTTACTAAGGGCGTGCAAGAATATGCATTTTCAACAATTTTCTGACTTCTGGAGACCGAACCTTATACTTATCTAATAGCGATCATAAGGCATTTTCGCTGCCCGTACTCTTGATGGCTTTGTGAATAGTTAATGCTCTGAGGAGTTGCATCGCAAAAATTTTATGCCAACGGTGTCCTTTGATGTTACTAATAGTTCAGCTCATTCATTTTACTGTTTTCTGGACCCTGCCGCGGATCGCCTGAGCTATTTCAGGAGTTGTGACAACGTTGATTGTTTACTGATTTCTCATCGTTCCGATGAAACGTTAGTATTGCAGCGTTTAAGCCATGGGCGTACTGGGAGCATTACAACCATCAGGCCAAATCCCAACTTGTAAGTCAATGGCAGAAGACACCAATGGGAGGGATCCATTGTGCCCAGAACCCAGAGTTTCGATCTCAGGCAGTAGTGGCCACCGGTGAAAGCGCCGACTCCGTCCAGCCAGGCTTGATTGTGGGAGGTGGTTGCTGCCTTTCCAAGATTGTGGAGTAAGTTTAAGTGGTGTGCGGTTGGTGTTTTGCATTGCCGGAGGGGGTTCGCGTATAGAAACCCCTGCTGGATCAACGGAAGGGTGGTGAGCTTAAGTGACCCTTGGGCGGCCACGACTGCTTGGATGCGCAAGTGTTCGTGCGGCAAAGTCGGTCAGGGGTCTTCAGGTTAGTGTCTCGAAAACAACTGCCTGTGAAGTTGCATAACGTTGGGACAGCGGGTATTGAACAAGGGAGTCGGACAGCATTGTTGGCTGACCGCCACAGCATTCTGTCCTCCGGTTGGCACTTGCTGGTGAACGTCACTTAAATGCGACTGACTATTTACCGTCATTCTGGCTGGCAGAGTATGAGTCCATAAATTGTCTTTATAATCACTATTAGCTCCGTCAGCATCATCCGATTTCAAAAGA